CTCCCGAGGTCCCTGTGCTGGGGCCCAGGCAGGTTTTCTGGTCTCTCGGGTGGGGTGATGTTTCACTGGGCCCTAGACCCCACTGCGCCCCCTTTCGCCTGCCGAGGCCCGAGGCCGGCTGAGGGGCTCCCACCTTGGCTCTGGTCGCGGCCTCGCTGTGGACGTGGCTGTGTCTTCCCCGCCCTGCTTCCCTGGAGCGGGCTCCCAGGCAGGACTCCTAGGGGCCATCCACTGTGAGCTCCAGGGAATTCCTGCAGGTAACCGAGGGTCTTCAAGTTTGTTGAAAAGGCTGAGGAAGTGAGCAGGGCGGGGGGACTCCAGAGGCCAGGACAGGAGGATCGCAAGTTTGAGGCCAGCCTGGGCGACTTAGGGAGGCCCTAAGCCACTCAGCAGGACCCCACCTCAAAATCAAAAATGTCCAAGTCTGGAGACGTGGAGCTGCGGCCCAGGGACAGTACCCTGGGTTCGAGCCCCGGCATTGGAAAAAAAAAAAAAGGGGCTAAGAAAGTGAGCTCGGGCTCCCGGGGAAGGGCGACCCCAGTCCTGCTGGACCAGCCCCGAGGGAATGTTCTGGAAGGTGAGGAGGCTGCTGGGCGTCTGCATCCATCGCCACCAGTCCTGGGTGGACAGCCCGGTGCTCTCCACCCTCCCTGGCGGCCAGCCCTGGTCAGTAGGGCCTGAGTGTCGCGCAGCACTTCGTTCACCGCCCACAGACCTTCCTGTCTTCCCCGTGTGCGCTCCTCCCCGTGTGCGCTCTTCCCCGTGCCATCAGATGAAAGCCAAGGGCGGGGAGGGGGGGTTCCATGAAGGTGGAGCCACAGGGCGGAAAGACCCTGGGTCCCTGAGGCCGGGGGTCCGCAGGACACGGGACTGACCCCAGCCCAGCCACTGGGCTCAAGGCCAGCACTGGGCAGCGGCCAAGGTCAGCTTCCCACCAGCCCCCCGAGCCGGGCAGGGACACGGGCAGCCCAGTCCCCCGCAAGTGGCTCTGTCTGCCTCGCAACCAGGTCCCTAAAGCTGCCACGCGCTGGGCTGCTTCCCTGCCCTCCCTGCCTCCCTCTGCAGACCACCCGTGCTTCCCGGGCTGCCTGCGCCATGCCCGTCCCCAGCCCCTCACCCACGAAGCTCTCCCACAGCCAATCTCAGCCTGCCGAGGGGTCCCCAGACTCACCCACAGGAGAAACCACTTGCCAGACATCCACGCGTCTTGGTCCGTTTTCTGTTGCTACAACAACATACCTGAGGCTCCGTGCTTCATAAAGAAAAAAGGTTTATTTAAGTTCACAGTTTGGGAGACCAAAAGTCCAAGATCCTAGGGCCCCAGGGGTTCAGCCTCTGATGAGGGCTTCGTGGCAGATGACACAGCAATGACAGTGGCACTGTGGAGTGATAGTGACCAGACTGCATTATACTGTGTGTCTGTGTATATGTGTGTAGAAATGTGTAAAAATGAATCCGATCAGTGTGCACAACTGTAATGCACCAATAAAACACAAAGGTGGGGGCTGGGGTGGTGGCTCAGTGATGGAGCCCTTTCCTTGCCTGTGTGAGGCGCTGGGTTCCATCCTCAGCACCGCATAGAAATAAATAAATAAATAAAAGCACTGAGTCCATCTACAACTAAAGAAAAATTTTTTAAAATAAATATAAAATGTTGGGGGTGGGGGGTGTGGGTCCGTGGTAGAGCACTTACCCAACATGCACAAGGTGGTGGGCTTCCTCTCCAGCACACAAAATAAAGTAAAATAATTGATAAAGGTCGCTGTCACGCGGCTGATCCACCGCACCCCAACCCGCCCCTCCCTGCACCGCTGTGCTTTCTTCACGCTGATTGACAGTTCCCGGCTGCTGCAGGGTGGGCCGTGGAGGAAGGAGTCTTTGTTTATTTGTCCCCAATAAACATGAAGGTGGGGTTCTGCGGGCACCAGCACCTGGCCCAGGGTCTGCCGCAGTGAAGTAAATGCAGGGACTGGCCCATCTGAGCCCCGGGTGGCCCAGTGACAGCCCCCAGCAGCTGGTAAGGACCACTCAGGGCCTTTCCAGAATGTACCTGTCCCCTCTGGTTGGACCTGAAGTGTCAATCCCAGCAGAGCCGAGCGGACGAGCCACCAGGCCTTTGGAATCCAGTACTGGTGACCCCGCTTCCCGGAAGTGGGCATCTCTGGACAGTGCTGGGGGGACGCTCCTCCCTGGAGGTGACACCGGTTCACAGTCCTCCTTCACCCTCCTCTGTCCTGACACTAGCCAGGCGCGGAGGCGCGGAGGCGGGGAGGCGGCAGGGCTACCTTGGCCTCAGGGTCCTGGAGCTGGGGCCGGGCTGGCAAGGCCACCATGAAGGGCGACGTCCCCGGAGGCAGCCTGGGGGTCCCCTGGTCAAGTTCCAACTTTGGACTTAATGGGTGGTGGGCCTGGGGGAGGAGGGGGGTGACCCGGCTCCTCTCTCTCAGCCCTGAGGACCCAGCGGGGACAGCAGGAGGACAAGCTCGGCTCCCGAGGAGAACAGGAGGCGACCTCAGGGTGCCCACGGGGTCTGCCACCAGAGGGGGGCTCTCCAGCCGGAGCACTGTCCACAGGACACAGGAACTGCTCCCAGGCGCCCGCTCTCAGGACGGGGACCTCATTGTGCTCCGCTAGCCACCACCCAGGCCTACAGATGTCACAGGCAGGTTCCTCCAGCACCGAGCAGGCAATTCAATAAACAGACCGTCCAGGGGGTCCCACGCGAGAATACACAGCCCGATGCCAGGGAGTTCTGAAAAGCAGCGAGGTGCGTTCCTTCCTTCCCCCAGGACGGCTGAGCTGCGCCGCGGATTAACCAAAGCCAGGTGCGCGGTGTCTCCACAGCTCTTCACCCTGGGAAGCGGGGCTGCTGACTCAGCCCACACGACCGACCCCAGGAAGGAGGTGCTCGTCTGGGTCCTTCCTAGGTGCTCGTCTGGGTCCTTCTGAGGGGCTCACCCAGGTCCTTCCAAAGCGCCAGACTCTGTCCTATGTGCTCCAGGTACAGGATCCCACCTGGTCCCATCCACAACCCAACAAAACACTGATCCCAGAGTCTCATAGAGGCGGCCATTGAGCATCCCAACCCTTTAAAGCAAAAATAAAGAAGGAGGAAAAGAACAAGGAGAGAAATGAGGTAAAGGAGGGGGTGGCTCAGTAAGAGTCATTCTTATGTTAATAGTGTCTCCGTCACAATTCAACCATTCAGCCTAGAACAGAAAACCCCAATAACAGTAGCTTAAATAA